AGAACCTTCGGGTTGAATCTCCTCGGAGCTTGTTTAAACGGCCGATATCCAGGCTTGATTGGTAACTGATGTTCAACAATTGATCGGTCTAATCCAGGCATCTCATAGTATTCCCAAGCAAAGCAATCTTTAAATTCCTTTAATAAATCAATTAATTCCCGTTTATATCCCGGATCCAACTTAACACTTACGTATGTCGGCCTAGGTCTATCTCTAGGACCAATATCTACTTCTTCTAATTCGTCGGCCAACGTGAAATCATGTTCTAGTTTGCCATCTGTACCATCTATTGGATTATCCATTAATACAAATTTTCAAAGCCGACTGCTTGGATCGGCTGTTGGCTTTCACCATTGACTCTGAATTTTGATGTCAACAAAAAAGCCATTTGGATATTAGCCGATGGTTGCTTCCTATCGGCTATCTGCTTGATACATCATACTTGAGTTTTACCGGATGCCTGAGCCTGTTCCATCTCTTTATTCCTTAGGCGTTGCACCCTTCTCTTCTGGCTTCTCGTTAATCCTCCTAGACACCATTGGCCTTCCTGCCACACATATCTTCTTTCATTGCCTTCCTCTTCATGATCAGCCCAGTCCCGATCAACGACTCTTTTTCCAAGCCGATCATAAACACTTTTACTTTTTAAGCGCCGATCCATATTATTATGATGATATGCATCTTGAGCATGGATAGATCGGCAGTTGGTTTGAGATTGTATATACTCCCGATATTGATTGCTGCATTCTGGACAGTCATGTCTGGTAGACAACTTCAAACCTTCATTCCAGCAATGTCTGAAGAACGGACAATTCCAATATAATTCGTCTTGTTCCTTTTCATACCTCTCTTTTTCTAGTTGATGCTGGTACGCTTGATCTTTCAACCAACGCTGATAATCCCTTTCCTTCTACCGCTGCCATTTATTCAACAGAATCCGAGATGTGACCCACGGCTTTGTCATCTCTGCTTTTGACGTCTCCCTTTGCTCGTATCGATTTTTTCGTTCGGCACAACGTCTTCTATACTCGTCAGCCGATATTTGCAACTTGGGATCGATTGTTTCAGCTTCTTTTGATTTGGTTGATGTTAGGACCTTAGTCTTTCCATTGAATAATCCATCATCAACCATGTTTTGATCTCCTAGGAAAGAATTATCATCAACTTTCATTTTTCGAGGTGTATCAAATTTGAGCCTCTCCTGCTGAATAGCTCTCTGTATATGCTGCCTGAAGATTCTGCATTCATTAGTAGAATGAGAAGTAGCGTTATGGAACTTACAGAACTTCTTATTCTTCAACTGATCAGGGGGCAACATGACATGACCATCGGGCAACTTGATCTGCCCTTTCTCAAGCAAGAAATCGAAGAGCTTATCTAATTTGGTGACATCAAAGTCATAGCTCTCCTCGGCTCCTCTTTCCCAATGATTTGGCACCATCATTGTCTTTTTGCCCCAATTTCATTCAGCCGCAGCAACCTCTTCTTCTTTATCTTCATAGTCGTCATCAACTGAGTATGGATTATAAGCTTCGGCTACTGTGGTGCTCTTCTAGAATCGAGTATCTCTGCGCATACTATTGAATTGGCTATTGAGGGCCGCTACTCATTGAGCCAATTGACCCAAGTTATCAAATTCTTGTCCCAGCAGCTTCTCTTTCCACATCAGCAGCATTCCTTAAATAGCTAAGTCAGCTAGTTGATCGTCAGCCAAGTTTAGGGAGAAGCATAAGTTCCTGGTTTCTCGGAACCTCTGAAGAAATTCAGTGCCCGATTCATTAGTCTTCTGTCTTATAGTTGTCAGATCGGTAATCTTCTTTTCTCCAGTCCTAGTGTAAAAATATGTATGAAACTTCTTCTCTAGATCAGCCCAATTAGCGATAGAATTGACTGGCAATAACGAAAACGAAGTGAAGGTTGGCCCTGATAAAAATAGAGAGAAGAAACGAACTCGATGGGCATCTTCGACTGATGCTTCGCCCAATTACGTAAGATACTGACTGATATGTTCTATCGTGCTTGTACTGTCTTGGCCAGTGAACTTAGCGAATTTTGGGAGCCTATAATTTGTTGGAAGAGCGACCAAATCATACCATTCTGGATATGGGTGTTTGTACGAAAAGGTCAGCCCTTTTGGCTTCAGACCGAACTGATTCTTCATCATCTCGGTCACCCTCAGCAACAATTCATCAGCTTACGGATTTGGATTCCTCTGCACCTGCTGACCCATCTGTGGATCGAAATCTCGCGTGCCTTGATATCCTGGATTTGGCATCATGTGGAGGGTATTATAATCTGTGCCGTAGTGATATCCTTGTGGAATCTTGATCTGCTGGGTCCTTTGCTAGCTTGGTTCTCGAAGTATCTGATTGTAAACATAAGGATCTACATCTCAACGGATCCTTTGGATTGATGGTGCTATTTTTTGAGCCGACAACGGTATGTGGCCTGATGTGCCAAAATTGATCATCTGGCTCTGACTTTGCTCCGCCGGCTGTTGCACATGCTGTACTGACGGTCCAGGATTGTACTGTATCTGATTCGTAGTGGTTCCTTGAATTTGTTCAGATGAACCTTGAACTGTCTGGACATTACCACTACCAGCTGGTGCTGCTTCTTGATGGCTGGTACCAGCTTGATTGGTCCCTTGGGTCGACGGATCTGGAATGTTGTAATAAGCCAGTCCGTCTTGACCAACTGAAAATCCATGAATCGCCTCTCTTATGGCGTTGTGGAATATGTCTATGAAAGCTTCGTTATGGCTTGATATGGCATCACGAACATATTTGTCCACAACTTTCTTAAAGAAACGCCTGTCTTCAGCTTCAGTTGTATTTGTCTGCCCGTGTAGTAGAACTCTTGGTAGTGGAAATTTCTAAACAATTGTGTTGTCACGTGTTTTGGTGTAGGACAACAAACACTTGTTCTGAAACTCTTCTATGGCTTTGCTGATGATACCCTTATCTCCATCAGGTAGATCTTTATAATGCAGCATAAGGATGTCATTGTTGTTGTGAACCGCCATGACGATTGTGGTGTCCCACCGGACGTGCCAAAACGTGTGTCGGCACGAAAACATGTCAACACACAGCAAACCGGAAGGGTCCGCTCGATGGAGCTGTAGATCCGCCTAGCTTCAGCATAGGGGTGGTCGATCCTGCGCACTCCTTCAGGACGTGCCAGTCAATTTGACCCTGTAATTGACTAGGAGGGAAAGTTCATCAGTAATTAAGGGCGGAACTTGCCGGTGTTACTAGACAGTCCCGAATGTGCGGCTCTGATAGCCGATATGAAGGGAAATAGACTAAATAGCCGATTTCAGAATATTCATAAGAATAAATCGGTTAAAGCTCATTGGATTAAGAAGAATCGATTATCATTCAGGATAAACGTCATTATTTGAACAAATATTAATCAATGGTAATAAGATGTTAATCAATGATCAGTTTATGCTAAGTCTATGATTACAGGTAACCGAATCCCTTTTTTATATAAAGAAACAATTCAACACCGCTTAACTGTTTAATAAAGGTAAATCTAATGAACATGTTAGATCTCATCTATCACTATGACCAGTGGGACATGAGGCAGAATCATGCAGGCCGTAGAAATAACAATAGATTCGACAACCCTAACTCATTACTAATATCAGTGGGGCATGAGGCAGAATCATGCAGGCCGTAATACAATAATAAGATCACGGGGCTAACGTATCTTTCAACATATTCTTTACATCAACGGTCTCGTGATGCAAACTGTTCATGAAAGCACTCGATATCGGCTAAAAATAGCCGATTCAAGCATAACACACAGTTAAAGTCATGCCTTATCAGGAATAGATCTACTAAATAATGATCCCCACTCTACGGTGCTAATAGTGGGGTGAGAGGTAGAATCACATAGACCGTGATAACGAGCCATGGAGTAGTTTTCGCTAGCCAATAGATCTACTCAAGACGCAACATGTCTTAACCGCACGCTATGCACAATCAGGATTGATGTAAAACAGCCGATAAAACATAACTCATCGCTTAAAGTATAGATTAGATCAGTTTTAGATTAGCAAACGATGAATTAGACAATATATAAGGCCGATCTAAATCAATCCCAATTGAGCAGAATGATATTGCTGTAATTTAGATAAATAATGAAAGTAATAAGCAATATCGATAACTTAATGAATCTATCAGAGACTGTCATTCTAAGATAGAGCCGATAACTTGATCTTGATCTAGTTCATGCAGTGGGGGTCGACCGGATCGATACAGCCATACTTGAACTAGCAAGAATCGATAACTAACTTATACCAGAGTCACAGTGGAGGTTGACCGGATCAATGCAGTCGTACGAACAAAGGTATAAGCCATGACGGTACTTACAACAAGCAGTGGAGGTCGACTGGATCGATGCAGCCGTACTTGCTGAAGAACTCGCTGAGATCTACGTTACTCCTACTCCTAAGGGTGGCCAGAGCCGAAAAAGTAAATGACTTGTGTATTGGATTGATTGTTGTTTGTTACAATAGCCGGGGTCTGATATTTATACCCGGGGTCTAAACATGAATCCTACTCGAGCATGATTCGCTACAATCTTTGGCATAAACGAAAACATTTCTAATTTAAGATAACTTGGACTCTAATCTTTTCCCTTTTGCAGAGTTTGATATATGGTTTTCTAGCGCCAACCGTAGTTTGTCATCGCTATCTGCTGACATCATCCCAAGAAATCCGATTCCAGAGTCATATCTGAATCGGCTGTCATCGATCTTCATCCAATCAATTCCCCGATCGGTACAATCTTAGAAACCTGCAAGTCCCCGTGTTCCTTTTTTTCAAATTCTGGTGTAAACAGTTCTTCTCTACATTTCTATGCCCCATACCAATAAGACTGCACAAACGAATTAAATGTGAGAACAAATGCAAAGATATCAGAGACTCTTCAAGGAAACTTTCAAATAATGCAAATGCTATGATTATATCATGTGGTTTATTATATCATACCCCATAAAGGAGCGCAACCCAGATTTCCTGGTCTTATTCCCTCCTTCAGGCACTTCACTAATTTTTTGTAGAGAGTTTCTCATTCCACTCCGTGAGTTACGGCGGGATCCACTTTCGGAGCTTCTCTTGCCAGGAACTTCACCTGAAAGCACATCTCCTGATCCCTGTGATTTCCTTTTTATGGTATTGTTTCTTGATTCTGACAATGACCGTGGATCCTTCAGGGCAAGTAGAAGCTCCGAGACTGAGCTACGGGCATGATCCTTCTGTCTTGCTGCAAAGAATATTATTGTTTTCATAGACGTGCAAGGTAAAAAACTTTTTTTGTTTTGAAAAGTAAGCAAGACTACTAGTAGTAATAGTACCATCATATTTGATGAGTGACTCTGGCAATCCATTTGGGCGAAGAGCTGTATCCTTGCTACCTTCTGTGTACTTACTCACTTCCACTTGCATCCTGTGACACATTGCACACAAAAGGTTTATTATAACTATAGTGCTGAAAACAAAACTATAAAATGGCATGATGATATATACATATGAGATGAAAAAGCTGACCCAATGAACTTGAGGACCCTGCCATCCTCATCCTTGATGGGGGCAACAGTTAGGAGGTTCCAGAATGGTGTACCATCCTTCCTGTAGTTGAGAATACGACCACAGTAATTTGACCCAGCTGTGAGAGCCTGCCTGATCTTCGAAATCTCTACGGGGTCGGTCCTAGAACCTTGAAGGAAGCGGCTGCAGTTGAGAGATGGTGGAGGCATAAGTGCAGCGCGTATTAGTTGGAGTCGTATCTATGCATTAAATGAAACGAAATGGAATTGAAATCGACGAACCAGTTCCTTCCGACGACCTCATTAGAGGAGTAACCAGTCATGTTGAAGAATCCAGCACTGGTGTAGAGGATGGGATGGTCAGGGCGGGTGGCATCGGACACGACGAAGGTCTGCTGGAACGCAGAGAGTGCGGCGCGAAGCTCCTCCGACACTCGGGGGAGCGCTCTACCAGCGGCGGCCCTCTCGTCGATGGAGTTTCCACTCTCGTTGGTGCGGTTGGAGCCGGAGGGGCGGGCAACGACACCCTGGGGGCGGCCGGTGCGCTCGTCGGTCTGGAGGACGAGGCCCCACTCGGCGGCCCTCTGCGTCGCCTGACCCACGTCGGCATCCTTCTCCTCCTCGTGCACCTCATCATCCCCGGCGAGGCTGGGATGGGAAGCAACTGCAGGAGGGAGGAGGAATGGGGAGGTGGTGGCCCGATTTGAAGCGGAGGAAACAGGGGCGTCTGGATTGAAGACTTCGAGGGATCCGCGGGAGTCACGCAGAAGTCCTGCACCACCCTCAAAATATTCTCATTAATTGATAGTAGTGTTTTGAAGGGAAATTAATTGGTGTTATTCATCCACCACACGAAAATTCATAATATATATCATCTCTCTTCTCATTAAAATAATCTATATTTATTTATAATACAGACATACTATGTCTAGCAAAAGTAGTACTAGTAGAGGCTGTGTACAAACGAGGTACAATAATTTGATTATGTATATGTCCGGATCGGATTACGTAAAACTCTATGTCGTCTATCTAATGACGATTTCCATGTGAGTATGGCACTCGCTTAGTAATGGAAAAGAAAAAACATATGTCTAGGGCGTTGCTAGCTCTCTGGATAGGTTGGGTGTTGACAGTTGGATGCACACATATTTACAGGTGCCTGCATGCTTGCATATGTAAAATAACTTCAGGTATCTACAATAATGCTGGTCGGAATTTTTTTCTATCCCTCTCTCAGTCTCTTTCCATGCAACAAGCTATGTATTCGGTTGTAATACACACATATATTTGCTAGTTAAAAAGAATAAAGAAGAGAGATGCTTGATGGATATATTTTTGAGAAAAATAAGGAAAAAAGGCAGCAGGGTCGAACAAATTGTACAAGAGTAAAGATGAAAATGATGTATGCATGTAAAGACGAAAAAAAGCAGATGGGTGCTTGTGAGAAAGACAGCAGTACTCACATGCTCAGGTGGATAGTACTCCGTAACAAATTATTACAGAAAGGAAAGACAGCAGTAATCACATGCTCAGGTAGATAGTACTCCGTAACAAATTATTACAGAAAGGAAGGTAATAATTATATATGGATGATGAGGATGGTATTAATTGAATGTCCTCCAATAATCCAAGTTAAGTCGCGCACACATGTGAGAAGCAATGAACTTAGTGGATGCTTGACAGTGGCCGGCCGGCTGGGTGACTGGGTCCATATATTGGATGATGGATTGGATAAGGAAGAATTTTCAGAACCAATCAAAAGAAAACTAGCTAGCGCTATCTGGAGTAGTACCAAATTAAGAACTGTATATATTCTGAAGGGAAGAAGGGAATGAATGAATCTAGCTTATGATCAGTGTTAATACATCTATAAATAGCCCAATATTATGATTAATAATCTATGTAATTAAGTTAGCATGCAGGAGTATATATTCATTCATGTACTATGAGTATATATTACGTACTCGTACTAATTAGTAGCTAGTTTTTGTATAGCTAGCTTTGCTAGAGCTGAAAGTAGATGACTACTCCCTCTGTTGTAAATTGTAAGCCGTTCTAAATTACTACACCCTCCGTTCCAAATTATAAGACGTTTTGGCTTTTCGAGATTCATAGATTTTGCTATGCACTCAGATATACACTATGTCTAAAATGCATAGTAAAAGTAATGTATTTAGAAAAGCCAAAACATCTTATATAATTTGAAACGGAAGGAATACTTTGTATATCTAGTCTAGGTGGGTAGTAATAACTATATATATACCGAGAGAAGTCAGAAAGACATAATTTAGAACGGATCGGAGGGAGTAGCAACTTGCAGAGGGAAAGGATCATGTTACGGATAGATGCATAATACTATCTAATTAGATTAGAGGTATAATAGAATTCTCAGATAGATGCATCATCAACAAGCAAACGAAGCGATTAATAATAAAATAATTAGTACACAGTATCTAGCTAGGAGTAGTGCGAAGTATAGTGTATATATAATATATGTATAAAAGGAGTAAAGTAATCCATGGAGATACATATGCATGTACAGTGTATATACATACATACATACATACATATATATATATATATATATATATATATATATATATATATATATATATATATATATATATATATATATATATATATATATATATATATAGGTACGTACCTTTGAAAGCCATCGATTGATGTAGTAGTAGTATAGGTCAGGGGCGAAGCCAGGAGAAATTGCCACTGGGGTCAGTACTCACAAGTGGCGGATCCGAAAATAGGTTAGGCGAGGAGCTAAATTATAGAAGGCTAGAAATTTTACTAGACATACACCCTTTGGAAGGCTAAAAATATTAATTGCATGACTATGATTTTTTACTTGAAGGCTTTATCCAGAAATAGATTATTTGATTTGATTTTTCTATTCAGACTTAAGAGTTGGTCCCTTAGAATTTAGCCCGCGAGGGGGGCTGCAATGCAGCCCCGACAGCCCCCTGTCCATCCGCCCCTGGTACTCACTGTACTAAGTGCTGATAATATCATGCATAACATCAAATTGATAAAATAAAAATGTATATTGTGACAAAATAAGGTTTTGCAAGAGCAGTTACCTCTTACAATTTTCCTCTACAACTACGATGCAATAAATATCAAACAGCTTTAATAATAAGAAAAACTAAAGCAAATAGACTTCTTTGCTGAGACGCAAGTTACACAATCCTTCCTGAGAATCTGAGTTCGGATTGTATAGCTGGAAAAAAATAAAAAAACCTAAGACCTCAAAATTCAGACTTGATCGTTAATTGCAAACTGCATAATTGGGTATTTGTTGTTTGGGGTACCTTATCTAGATGCTTGAGAGCAGATAGGACAGCGGGAGAACATGAGATCAAGAACGAACCGAGCTACCGACGAGCGGCGGCTGAGCGCCGGCCGCTGGGTAGGGGCGACGCCCGCAGGAGGATCTGCGAAGCTGAAAGGGTACATGACCTGCCCCCGGCTGCTGCCAGGCTGTTAGCAGACGCTGGATCGGAGGCAAGGCAACGTTTGGCCTTCTCCAATTCACCTATGTGGCCTGCGTATGTATGGATTGATGGATCGGATGGGCTGAGCCTGAGCAGATGGACTGCGGACTACTGCTGCTGCCGAGCCGCTGGGGTCTTACGTGATTTCTACTGGGGTTGTAGACGGCCAAAAATTGCTCGGTACACAAGGTTACGACAAAATCGTCGGTGTCGGTAGACCCCGATGCTTGAACGTGGCTTCGCCACTGGTATAGGTAGTAGCTAGATAGATGTTTACTTGCTTGCTACTCCGGTGGGTGGTGAGCGGATTCGGATATGGATCGATCGGAGCAAGAACGAGAGCGAGCGAGAGCGAGAGCAAGCAGCAAGGCTGGCGGCGGCTGCCCTGCCGGCAGTCGTCGATCAGTCAGATACTACTCACTACTACAGAAATTTTAACCGTGGCGGTCGTTTTGGCTTAACCGAGGCGATTTTTACAACCGCCTCGGTCTTAAGTTCATGGTTAATCGTGGCTTAACCGAGGCGGTTTCTCTAACCGTCTCGGTTAATCGATTAACCATGGCGGTCGGCTCTAGATCTGATGATTCCCTGTACACCTTGCACACATAAACAACAAAATTGGCGCATATAAGCAGCAGTACGGAAAATAGACAGCTGGGTAGCTCTAGATCTGATGATTTCTCTCTCCTCCAAATAGATCTAGATCTAGATCTATATAAAAGGCACCAAATCATGAAAAAGGGAGAGGATTGAGGGTTTGAGAGCGAGAATCAACCTCTTGCGGTGCCACCCTTCACCAAATCCAAGGGCAAAACCTCTTCCTCTATAAAATGGCCACTTTTAGGGTTTTCAGCTCAAAACCCTGAAAAATGGAGGAGGAGCCACGGAGAAGAAGGGTGGGTGTGCTGGTTTTATAGCCCAGGCTTAACCGAGGCGGGCATGGTAAATAAAACGCCACGGTAAATCGTCTGATAACCAAGGCGGTTTTCTTAACGCAACCGCCTCCGTTAATTTATTAATCGAGGCGGTTACTATAACATAACCGCCTCGGTTAATAACTATTAACCGAGACGGTTTTTATAAGTAACCGCCTTGGTTAATTCATTAACGGAGGCGGTCGAGTTAATAAAACCGCCTTGATTAATATCTATTAACCGAGACGGTTGCTGGTCCGGCTGTCCTGCCTCGAATAACCGAGGCGGGCAACCGGGTCGCCCGCCTCGGATCCCCAAACTGAAACGCTGCGCAAAATGTTTTGTGTAGTAGTGACTCCACCCGCGCCCGGCGTCTGCTGCTGGTGACTAGTGCTATATAGGATCGGATCGGATCAGATCAGAGTACCTTGGTGAATTGCTTGTTGCTGATTGGGATTGGGATTGGGATGGGGATGGGGATGCGATGATGGCCCAGCAACTAGCTAGCTAGCTACAGAGAGAGAGAGAGCTCTACCCCAGAGGAGTATGTATATATTATATATTAGTGGAGTGCTACTGTACGTATGTGCTGATGATGAACATCTATCTATCCCCATGGAAGGTATGTGCAGTGATCGATCGATGTGCAGCAAGCGAGCGATATCCGGCCGGGCCGTATGGCTATGGCATGGAAGACATGAAGCAAGGACAGCTAAAGCTAGCTCAGCCTTAGCAATTGCAGCAAGCTAGCATATGCATGCAGACGAGATGGAGAAAATACGGACACATCGATACAGACACAGGAGCCAGCGATCGAGCCAGGCCAGGAGATTGCTTGATATATAGCTAGGGTACGGTGCTCCCTCCTGCTTACTAGTAATTCTCTTCTCTTCTACAGTAGCTAGCTAGTGAGATGGAGATGATCCACTACTGTTTCTCTCTCACTCTATCTGAATATATATATATGCAACTAGATGGGCATGCATATACTGGAGACAGCGATGCATGCATCACGACGGTGAGATGGATGGATGCAACTGGGCATGCCCTGCCCTGCCCTGCCCATGAGAGCACGCTAAGAGCGAAAGGAAGAAGGCATCGGATCTGAAGCCAATGACCAGGACGTACGCGCTGCCTAGCTGAAGCAGCCGAGCACAAGGCCGAGAAGCAGATAAATATCTCCATCGTGGTCCATCCAGCAGCGAGTGACCATCAGTGTTTTTCCTTCCTTCCTATTCTCTCTCTTACTCCAGGGCAGAAAGCAAACCACACTTGTTGCTCGTTACTCTTTCCGTCCCAAGCCCTTTTAAGTCGTTCGCTACGTATCTATGTATCTAGAAAAAATTAAAACAACTTGCAATTTGGAATGGAGATAGTATTTTCTTTTGCTACTAGATCACCTAGTTCTACAGTACGTATCTATCTAGGTATTATCAACTCGTTTATCTAGATATGAGATGAGATTGTTTAGTCCTTCCAAGTTCCAACCTCATAGATCTGCACCCACGTGTTTCAACTTTCAACCCCGGCCCACTTCATCATTATATTATTCATTCACTACTCCAAACCGGAATTCCCTGACGATGTCGATTTTTTTATGGTTATTGTGTAAGCCGACAGAAAAACACACAGGGAATTAAAATTATCTTGAAGTTTTTTGGAAAACATACAGGAAAATTAAATAATCGACAGAAAAATTTCTAATTAACCTGTGAGTGCATATAACCGACAGGATAACA